CTTGGTTAATGGTTGATGTGGGAGGACTTAACCCATTGTGGATGGTACCACCCTGGGCAGATGGTCCTGGGTGTTGTAAGAAAGCAGGCTGAGCAAGCCATGAGGAACAAGCCAGTAAACAGCAACCTCCATGGCCTCTTCTTCAGTTCCTGCTTGCAGGTTCCTGCCCTGACTTCCCTCAATGTATTGTGACATGACAATTGTAAAATGAAATAAACCCTTTCCTTCCTACAATTCTTTGGTTGTGGTGTTTCAGTACAGCAATAGAAACTCTAACACACACACACATACACACACACACACACACACACACACAATAAATAACAAAAAATATAATTAAAAAATTTTTAAAGAGCCAAAGACATAGTAGTACATACCTGAAATCCTAACACTGGAAAGGGTGAGGCAGGAGGACTGCTGAGTTCCAGGTCAGCCTGAGCTACAGGCCCAGTTACTGATAACTCTTTAGGAGCTCTCATCTCTGAAGACTCTTTCACCTAGATACTAGGATTACAATGATAAAATCGGAGCAATCTCCTTTAACCCACCCTGGAACACATGCCCAGACATGTGCACCCATGTACACACACACACACACACACACACACACACACACACACACACACACACATACACACACTCTAATACAATACATCTTCAAACCTCACCATTTAAGAGTCAGTATTTAATGTAGTATGACTTACTACTACTGATGTATTCCCAATCCTTCCTTTGACAATGAAACCAAAGTCCAGAGATTGGATAATATGCCCTAGGTAACAGTTAGCTGTGTTAAATACATTAGGGAGAAAGAATAAAGAACGGAAGATAATCAGAAAAAACATCAGATTTGTCTAAGGGATTTCTGATTCATGTCTAAAATCAATATTGAGTCATCAAAAACTCTTTAAGGAATAAACTATGGTAACTGGGGATATAACAAGAGGCTCTACATTCCATCCCCAGCACAAGAAAAGGAAGAGCGGGTAAGACTACTCAGCTATATATCAGGAAGAGTGAAAACCGAGGACAAGGAGGGAAAATAATGTTCACGCCAGATAAAAGTGAAGGTTGGAGTATAACAAAAGGAACAGATGCACGTTTTCAAGATTCAGGGTCAAGCCAAGGAACGAAGGAATACTGAAGATGCCTGGGATTTTTCAGGTTGGCTAACTGGAAAGATGGCTATTTTGATAACAACAATCCTCAAGGCACTAGCTGATACTAATCTTTCTTAGTCTTTCCCCACCCTGCCCCTCTTCCTTCTCCTCTGTGCTAGTGTTTGAACCCCAGGCAAGCATTCTGCCTCTGAGCTACACTTCAGCATCATCTATTTCTTTTCTTTTTGTTGTTGCTTTTGTCCTTTTGGTTTTTTCGAGACAGGGTTTCCCTGTGTAGCCCTAGCCATCCTGGAACTTGTTATGTAGATCAGGTTGGCCTTGAACTCCTAGAGATCCTCCTGCCTTTGCCTCCTGAGTACCGGGATTAAAGGTGTGCACCACCACCAGCCACCACTGCCACCACTTGCTGCTCTCATCTATTTCTTACAAGCATAGTTTGCTTCCTTAAAGGGACTGGGAGAAAATGGGTTCCTGCTTCCTTTGCACTCAACAATAGATAATCTGTTCCACAGCTGACCTAGGTAGTTCCAAGTACATACTTGAATAAGTGGAAATCACATTCTCCAATATAACAAATACAATTTTGTATTTATTTTGCTGCAAAGCTGAACTTGTACTCTTGATCATTCTGCCTCTATCTTGAATACAGGCATATACCACCATGCCCAGCTGCAGCTGAAGAAGCTTTGAACAAACACTAGCAGTCAGGGACTGGGGACATAATACTTCAGTGAGGTCCTACTTTCAATTAACAGCACCAAAAACAGAACAACAAAAAACTCATAGTAGATCAGTCTGAGTATGGTGAGATCATACCTGTAATTAAGAACTCAGTGGAAAGCTGGGGCAGGAGGATTGCAAATTTGAGGCTAGCCTGGCTACATATCAAGATCCTGTCTCAAAACCAGAGGTAGGGTGCAACAAGGTATAAGCGGGTAAGGGTGCTTGCAACAAACACTGATGACCTGAGATGAATCACTGCAACCCTCATGTGAAAGGAGAGTCAACTCCTGCAAGTTGTCCTGTGACCTCCACACATGTGCATGTCACATGGGCACTCACATACATATAAATCCATACACAAAGTTAATAAATGTAAAAAAACTTTTAAAAGGAAGGGATGGGATATAGATTCTTTATACCTATAGATATGCATGCATGAAACCCGGGATCTATGCCCAGTACTGCAGAAAACTGGGAATGATGACCTGAGTTCAATCTCTGGAACCCATGAAAACATCGAACAAGAAAACTGTTGCTACAAAGTTGTCCTCTGATCTCCATACATGAACATATATACACCCCAGCCCCCCCCCCCACATACATCATATAAATACACAATAGTAGTCAAATTTAATAAAAAGAAAAGGTAAGTGGTATAGCCAGGTGGTGGTGGTGCATGTCTTTGATCCCAGCACTTGGAAGGCAGAGGCAGGAAGATATCTGAGTTTGAGGCCAGCCTGGTCTACAGAGTGAGTTCTAGGACAGCCAGGACTACACAGAGAAACCCTGTCTCAAAAAACCAAAACATAAAAATAAAAAAATTAAGTGGTAGAATGTGTATGAGGATTCCAAGAGAAATATTAAATTCCTCATAGCATGAAGAATAACAAAGAGACATGAGAACAAATGCTGGCCAGGTCCTTAGAAAGGCCATTGGGGAATGGAAATTAGCAGGATGTGGAATTGGGTTACAGATCCTGAGCACAAGACTTCCTGGCATAAACAACTCTATTCACAAGAAGCCCAAACTATCAATTCCTCCAAGCTCAACAAAGTACTTCATTGTTTATTTAACTGATAACTTAGAACAACTGCTATTAAAACCCACCAATCTAACTATACCTATATATAAAAATATACATACAAACAAAATGTATACACCCACCAACCCAATGCCTTACCCAGTCCACTCATTTTCATTTGTTTATGTATTTACCCACCCATTGCTGGGATGAGAAGTGTGTGCCACCACATCCTGCTATTCTTTTCCTTCTAAATGGAAATCTTTGTAGGGAAGATGATAAAAGGAAAAACTGTAGTAAGGAGGTTAGGGTCAAGAAAAGAAGAAAGGAAACAAAACAACTCCAATAGCTCAGCGCACCCTCTCTGCTGGGCATGCAGCAGCTCGGGCAGAGATGAACAGGTATGCCAGGGCATCAGATGCCTGCCCTCCAGTAGGTCTTCCACAGCCTTCTTTCCCATACAGACTTTCCAAATCACTAACTCAGTCATTTATTCCCTCCTTCCCTTCTTTCATAGGAAGTTTCTTTTTGTTTGTTTAATTTAATTTTGTTTTGTTTTTGAAGTCCAGGTCGTCTTAGAACTCAGAGATCCACCTGCCTCTGCCTCTGCTGGGATCAAAGGTGTGCACCACTATTCCCAGCTCAGGAAAACCTTTCTTTAGGGGCTAAAGAGATGGCTCAGTGATTAAGAAAACTGGCTGCTCTTGAAGAAAATCTGGGTTCGATTCTAAATTCATACCGTAACTCCAGTTCCACAACTTCTTCTGACTTACGCAGGCACTGGCATACATACCTGGAGGCAAAAGACTCACACTCAGCCAGATGTGGTGGTTCGTGCCTGTAATTCTAGCACTTGGATGGTACAGCATGAGGATCAGGAGTTCAAGGTCAGTTCCAGCTCTATAATGAGTTCAAGGCCAGCCGGCTCTACAGAGACCCTATCAAGTGTGGGGGAAGGGAGGAAATTTCTTACATAAGCTGTTTGTGGTGACACACACTTGTAACTCCAGGTCCTGAGGGTCAATAGGATCTTGAGGCCAGCCTGAGCACTTCTGACATTACAAGCATCTTATAAATAAATCCTACTTAAATATATATTGAATTATATTGCCTGTGCAATTTCATTTGGAAGCACACTTACCTCACTAAAATATCAAGATGATTAAAGTGAGAAATATTCAGATGTTTATTACTAAAAAGGGTGTTCAGCCTTTTAAAAAGAGACTTTATTTTTATTTCAGGTGTATAACTATTTTGTCTGTGTATATGTACTCACACCACATGTATGCCTGGTACCTACAAAGGCCAGAAGAGGGTGTTAGAGCCTCTGGAACTGGAGTTTACTAATAGCTGTGGGCTAGGAATGGAACCCCTATCCTCTGCAAGAGCAGCCAGTGCTCTTAATTGCTGAGCTACTTCCAGCCAGTAAAGTAAAATCTTTAAAAAAAATTTTTTTAATTACATTTATTTCACGAATGCATGTGTGCATGTATGTATGCGTGTGTGGAGAGGGAGAGGAAAGAGAGACAGGTACTACATCTAAAGTATGGAAAGAGGTCAGTGAAAGTCTAGCTAAAAATTGAGTCAATATTGTATTTTCTTCTTCTGCCATGTGGGACCCAGGGGCCAAACTTAGGTCATCAGGCTTGGGTCAGGCACCTTCACCCACCGAGTCATCTGGCTCCCCAAGCCTTTCAAATGTAAAAACAATTCTCAACAGCAAACTATGTCTCCTAAGTGAGTACTCATAGTTTAAGGTGGATAGTTTTATGCCATTATTTTGCTGTTATTTTTATTCCATGATTTAATTACAACTCTTCATAAAGCAATTAAGAAAATTAAATAACTACATAGAGACCAGTCTTTTATCTCTGACAAATTACTAATCACAGTAGGAAACAGTTATTCTAATGAGCTAGTATTCATGTTCTAGTGAGAGGAAAGCAACTTGACAGAAGACGTTGCCTTATTAAATCAATACTTGTTCATTACAGGAAAGTAAGTTGTAATGGGGAGAAAAAGACCTAGAGTCTAGCTAAACCCCAGCAAGATGGACTCCTCAAGACAAAGTACTACTGGAGCAAGCCTCCAATAATGCCTCTTACCGACCCTGGGGAGACGGAAAGTCCATTACCTGAGGATGTTGGGGTGGGAGAGTCGATTCATGAGCTGCATCTCCTTCAGCAGGTTCGCTCGGTTACTGCTCAGCGTGTTCATCTTGAGGGCCATCACCTGACCAGAAGCTCGGTGGCGCACCTAGGAAGTTAGAGGAAGAATGTCAAGAGTCTCCACCTGTGGAACACACCAGGATGTTTTAGTACCAGTTTAGATGAAATAAATATTGCATTCTGGATGCTGATGCAGAAATGTGAATACACGGCCAGCTTGAGCTATGTGAGATATTGTCTCAAAAAAAATTACATTTGTCTCACTCCACTAATGAAGATGAATTTATTTCATCTAAGACCAAAATTGTTCCACACTGAGCTGGTCAGAAATACAATATTAGTCATATCATTTGTTTTCTTATTATGTTTTTTCTGGGGGGGGGGAGGGAGGGGAGAGTTGGGACACAGGCCCAGGTTGGCCCTAAACTTCTCATATAACTGAGGATGGACTGAACACCTTATCCACCTGCCTCCACCTCTAGGTGGGATTACAGGCACCGGCCATCACACCCAGTAAGGATCTGATTAGGCAGAGCCCTGCTCTGTATCTCTGAATGGCCAGGAACTCACTCTGTAGCTTTCCTAACTGTAACTTCACACAACCTCCTGACTCAGCATGCAAGTGCTGGGATTATAGGCAGGAGCCACCACACCTGGATAATGAGTCCTTTTTTTAGGCTACTTCCTTAAGGTCAACATTAGTGACTTACAATACTAGAAGGAAATAGTCCATTCTGTATATTTTTATGTGTGGAGGGAGGGAAGAAATATGAGTAAGCCTTACATAACAATGAGCTATAAAACTGTCTTTATAAGACACTTTATAAGGCATGAAAATGATATACTTTCAGCTTACACTAAGCACCATAAAAAATGTATCTTTAAGGGAAAAAAACAGGGCTGGGCATGGCTCAAGGGTAGAGTATTGCACTCATCATTCACTACAGAATTTATTTCATTTTACTCATGGAAATTATTTCCTCATTTCAAAGCATATACTTCAGAGGTTTTATTTAAAAAATTGTCATACTAGACCAGGAGTGGTAGTGCACACCTTTAGTCCCAGCACTAGGGAGGCCGAGGTAGAGTTCAGTTCTAAGGTTCTGTTAGGTGGCTCACAACCATCAGGGGCATCTGATGTCTCTGGCCTCCATGAGCACCTGCACTCACATGTACATACCCATACACAGACACAGATGCACATAAGTTAAAACAAAATCTTAAAAAAAGAATAAATTAATTCTGGGCCAATGTGGTGGCTCAGTGGGTAAAGATGCTTTATGCCAAAGTTGATGACCCACACAGAGGAAGGAAAGCACATGTTCCCACAAGTTGTACGCACACACACACACACACACACACACACACACACACACACACTCAATAAATGTAAATTTTTAATTTTAATTTCAGAACTGGTGCAGCAGGAACTTGCAATGCAAACCTATTGTCGTTCTGTGAACTTCAGGAGTATTATTTTACATCTCCTTTAGTCTTCACCCTCTAAAGGCTCAATGGAATAACAATAACTGCTTCACTTATCCGTTAATATAGGACACAGCACAGCTTATCTTGTACTTAAAGCAATGGTGGTTCGCAGTGGTCACAGCAGAAGAGAAGAGCTGGAAAGCTACAGAAGCCATAGTCAACAAACGGAGGCAAAATGCTGGCAGACTTTGCCCTCATCTAGATCCTCCTAGAGATTTGGAAGGCAGCTCTCTTCTGAGTGCATCACTGAGCCTGTTGTCACGTATCCCATGATTGATGAAAGGGAAGTGGCATCCCTTTCTAGATCCTGTGTGGATAAGTTAAAAGAGATCTTTATATACAAAGATCTCACTGGCAGTATTTTTCCAGCACTATTTGCAGAAAGCATCTGTGTTTTCGTGGGGCTTTCCATCTACTGCCACGTTCCCCTCCCACCATCTGAAAACTGTTACTCCTGAGATTTGTGCTATCATTTTGTTTGTTTGTTTTTCTTTTCTTTCTTTCTTTTTTTTTCTCTCTTTTTGGTTTTTTGAGACAGGTTTCTCTGTGTAGTTTTGGTGCCTGTCCTGAATCTCACTCTGTAGACCAGGCTGGCCTCGAACTCAGAGATCCGCCTGGCTCTGCCTCCCAAGTGCTGGGATTATAGACATATGCCACCAAGTATCATGTGTTCTTTCTACATTATATATATAATGTTCTTCTCATTAACTTGAGCAGCAAGTAGGTTAGTGATTGCTTGGGTCTGAGGGGAAAGGAGAAGTACAGGACATGGAGAGAGACTATTTAAATTAATCTAATCTCAGGGGTGGGGCTGGGAGGAGAGGAGGAAGAGGAAACTGTGGCCAGTGTGTAAAATAAATAAAATTTTTTAAATTAAAAAAATAAAAGGGAAAAAATAAATAAAAATAAAAATAAAATGTAAAATTAGATACTGGTGATGGCTACGCAACCAACAACCAAGTGAACATTGTCAACATCTTTTTTTTTTTTTTTGGAGGCATGGTTTCTTGGTGTAACAGTTTGGCTGTCCCGGAACTCACTTTGTAGACCAGGCTGGCCTCGAACTCACTGACAAGCAAATAAAGTGACAGTTAGGTGCTGCTGAGATGGCTTAGCAACTAAAGGCACTTGCCACCAAGCTGACATCTAAGTTTGTTCCTTCAGACCCTCATGGTGGAAGGAGAGCAATGGCTTTCTTGAACTGTCCTCTGACTTCCACATGTGCACCATGTATGGACAGAGTGCATACCCCAACACACACACTACTTGTTGTTATGACTACCTTGTTAGGACCACCTTGCAATCACGCCTTTGTTTCAGGGGGTCATTATGACCAACTTATGTTCTGCTCCTGAACCCTGCCTATTTTGCCAGCCAAATCGCCCATTTGGAAACCCCCTACCCCTGAGCTATAAAAACCTTGTCTTCCTCACACCCAATGTTGACCTCTGGAACCCCATCTTAGGGGGAGGCAGCCCGTGTTACACAAATAAAAAAGCCTGCTTTAATTAATTGCTTGTTTTAATTAATTTGGCCATGATGACTTTGGTTGGTGGCCTTTCTCCTTGCATCTTTGGGATTAACATTAACTTCAAACTTGTTATGTAGTTGAGACTGGCAATCAACTCCTCTTGCCTCCAGTTCACAAGCACAGGTAATAGAATTACAACAGATTTGTGTGATATTGAGACTCACACAGAGTACTGAGTACTGAGCTACATCTCAGGCTGTTTTTTTTTTCCTTTCCTTCTTTTTGTTTTTTGTTTGTTTTTGTTTTTTTGAGACAGGGTTTCTCTGTATAGTTTTGGTGCCTGTCCTGGATCTTGCTCTGTAAACCAGGCTGGCCTTGAACTCACAGAGATCCGCATGCCTCTACCTCCCAAGTGCTGGGATTAAACGCGTGTGCTACCACGGCCTGGCCAGCCTGCTTTCTTATACAACTCAGGAACACCTGCCTCAGGGTGGCATCCCCAGTGGGCTAGGCCCTCCCACATCAGTCATTAATCAAGAAAATGCCCCACAGACTTTCCTAAAAGCCAATCTGATGGAGCATTTTCTCAATTGAGGTTCCTTCTTCCCAGATGACTCTAGCTTGTGTCAAGTTGACAAAAAACAACCTAGCCAGTGTAGAAAAAGACCATTTCTAAGGTTCAGAACCCTAAAAAGCATTGGACTGTTACCATCTTCTTCTCTGGCTTTTCAATAATTGATTCACTTGTGTGTGATGGGTTTGTGTGGTGTATGTATGTGTACATTTTCATGAGTACATACATCCGTATGTGGAGGCAGGACACATGTCAGGTGTCTTCTTCAATCTACCTTATATTTTAAGATAGGATTCCCCCTGAGCCTGAAGCACATCAATGGCCAGGCTGGCTAGCTAGAAAGATTCCAGGGATCAGTCCACTTCCACCTTCCAACTACTACAATTAGAGACACGTGCACCTTCACCCAGCTTTCTACACTGATGCTGGGGATCCAAACTCAGGCCCCCAGGACTGCACAGCAGGCACTTTACTAACGAAGCCATCTTCCCATAACCATCTTTTCTTCCAGACATGGACTAATACAGTCGAGGATGGCCTTAAACTTGCTACACAGGAGAACATGATATTGAGCCCCGATCCTTCTGCTTCTACCTCCCAATTGCTGGGATTACAGGCATAAACCACCAAAGGGACAAGGTACAAATGAAGAAGTATGTTCCTTTCCCTCTTTAGTCCCCTTTTGAAAGTCCCTGCGATGTAGCTTCAGTCCTGTATTAGTTACTCACCTTGCTGCTAAGACCAAATACGTAACAAGAACCAATTTCAGGGAGGAGGAATTTATTTTTGTCTAATAGTTCAAGAGTACAGTCCATCATGGTGGCAACATCATGTGCAAGAAGGCAGCCAGTCCCATGGCATCTGCAGTCAGCAGGTAGAGATGGATGGAAGTTCTGGCTGAGTTCACTTTCCCCTTTTTATTCAGCCCATGGGATGGTGCTGCCCACATTTCAAAATGAACCTTCCCTCCTCAGCTAAACTACTCTGGAAATACCTTAAGGACACTCATAGGTTTGCATTTCCAAGCTGATTCTAAATCCTGTCAAGTTGATCACAAAGGTCAACCATCACAGGCCAGTAAGATGGCTCGGCAGGAGAGAGCACTTCTGTCAAGTCTGACCACGTGAATTTGGTCCCTGGAACCCATATGGTGGACAGGAGAACCCACTCTTGAAAGTTATCTTCTGACCTCTAAATGTGAGCCATGGCATGCATACCAATCACAAATCCCCCTTTCTTCCCTCTCCTGCCCCTCCATCCCCCCGCCAACTGACTCCCCATTCCCTGCTACAACAAGGTAAGGCCTCCCATGAGGAATCAGCAGAGCCTGGTACATTCAGTAGAGGCAGGTCCAGGCCCCTCCCCTTGTGTCAATGCTGTGCAAGGTGTCCCACCACAGGTAGTGGGCTCGAGAAAACCAGCTCATGCACCAGGGATGGATCCTGATCCTACTGCCAGGGGGCCCTTAAGCAGATCAAACTACACAACTGTCTCATTTATGCAGAGGGCCTATTTTTTGCTTTTTGTTTTTAAATCTTTGTGTGGCCAGGTATGG